TTTTTTTTTTCATTTGGCAAAAGGAGGTGATTGATTTTGCAGACCAGGACTGGAGGACCCTGGGACCATCAAGCGAGAAGCAGTGCAGTCAGGCATGGAGACAGATGATGGCATATAGACAGATGTAGTGGCTGGGAACACAGGACTCAGTGAGGGAGAGGAGCTGTTTGCTGACAGCCGGGGGGCTGGGCCTGTGGGGTGTATCCTTTGGTTATTATATGATGCATGGAGGGGATTGTAAATATTGCAATGAAATGAAATATGATAGGAGGAATGTGAAGCTGAAGTGGGACAGAGGCAAATAATGATATATGCACAACCTTGGAACAACAGGGCTCTCGAATACAGAGATTGAAACATGGTTGGAATGGGGAAAAGGAGGGAAACAATGTTAAGATGCTTGGCTGTCTTTTGAATCTTGGTTTCCCTAGAATACTACTATAAAACAGACACTGGAGGGAGCGAGAAAGGAATAAACAGAAATATCACCATAGAAAGCTTGTAAGTCCATCTTCTGCCTATAACTGTTTGGAATACCTAAAAAGGGGCTACAACATGCCCAGTTAAGGAGGCTTCCTGTGGAGCCTCTGCATTATGCAAGACCACACGTGGAATCCTGATCAGCATCCAGAATCTTCTAAGGGGAAAATTCCACTTGAAAGGACAAGCAGAGCAGTCTGGAGCAGCCAGAAGATACTTCTTGAAAGAAAGACTGACAGGAAAAATACAAAACAATACAGGCAGATAGAGTGATTACTACAAGAACAAACAAGTGGCTCACCCAGGAGACATCAAGGTAAGTGGTCGGGTCCCCTTAGGGCAAACCTCCTTCTAAGAGTAAGACCCAATGGGAATACACGTTCTGACTGGTGAGCACGTTCATCACTGATAAGGGGAAGTGAGGGAAAAGCAGCAATGAAGCTGCGAGCTAAGCCCTACAAGGTTCAAGAGACTCCTGTAACCTGGGTGGAGACCTGGTTGGACAGCAGTGTCACAAATCCAGGGGACTCTTGGACCCAGAGCCAGTGACATAGCCACAGAGGACTCGCGTGGAGAGTGAAGTGTCCAGCTGATAAGAAGAAAGGGCATATGCATAAGAACACCCACACATGCAGATAGATAATACCCAGTTGACCTGGCTTCAATGACTAGATGATCAGAGCTCACCTCGAAGAAGAAAGAGGAGGAAAAAAGGATAATCTGATACAATTTGATGAACTTGACCTACACCTATGGAAGCAGTAGCTCAAAAGAAGCAACAAATCTTCACAGCGAGGATCATTCCCACCCCCTCCACACACGGAGAGGACAGGGATGGGCAACTTGAACACTGGCTACCCAAAATGGAGGTTGGGGGTACAGAGGCAATAAGTGACTGGCTTTACAAGTTTTCAAGAGGGAACCTAGATCCAGAGGGTATACAGCAAGGTAGAATCTCCACTGAGTAGTATCCAATCTGTCTAGACAGGGCTGATGAAAGGAGATGCAGATAGGTCTCTTGCGATACAATGGTGAATAACTGTCATCAGGACTGACTATAAGGGCTGGAAATGTAAAGGTAGATGTTTTGAGACAAAGGGAGGAGAGTGATTAACTTTGCAGTCTTGGAGCGGAGGTCCCTGTAACCATCAAGGGAGAAAAGCAGAGAACAGAACCCTACCCCGAGAAGCAGTGATGCCTGAGATGGAGGCAGAGATGATGACATGGAGAGATGAAGTGGCCGGGGACTTTAGATCCAGAGAGGGAGAGAGGCTGTGTGCTGACAATTGGGGGGCAGGCTTGCGTGGTATACCTGTGGTTGGTGGATGATGCATGAAGGGGATTGTAACTATAGCAAGAAAATGATATACAATGGGATCAATGTGAAGCTAATGTTCTCCCATGTAAACTATCACATAACTCACAATAAAGCAGTAATATATATCTATATATATATATCATGAGGAAATTAGTGGGCAAAGTAAAATAGATGAAACTGACCACCAAAATTTTATCCACACCCCCCCACCCCATTGACCTATTTTGAAAAAGCCTTGTCAGGTAAGACTAATTAATCAAATTGATGTGGAAGGAGGCCAAGGGAGGAGAACAGCCGCCGGAGGGTGGGAATCTCTAGCCTGGCGCCCAAATGCCTACTAAGCTGCATCCTTTACACCAGGACCAAGAAAAGCCAATGAGTACGCCCTCCCTCGGGTGGTCTGAGGAGGGCACGTATCAGACGGCCCCATGTGAGCTGAGGAGGTCCAAGGCCATCATGCACAACTCCAAAAAGCATCATACCCAAAGATGGTGTGAACGGTGCATCCTGTATTGCCCAGTGTGGATGTTTCGTGAGATTCCCTCACTAAGACCCAGGATCCCATCCTGAGATCATCCACTACCTCCTAGAACCGCAGGACTTAGTATATATATACATATGTGTGGAACTGTGGTGTGGCGCTCTGGGTTAATGCTCTGGACTGCAAAATCAGTTTGAACCACAAGGTCAGCGATTCAAGCTCACCATCCGCTCCTTGGAAACCCTATACAGGGTTGCTATGGGTTGGAACCAACTTGACAGCACTTAGTGACAACAGCATATGTATATCCACAGCAGAAAGATTGTTTAACATGTTTTAAAGAACAGACTAAGTTATTTCAGAAATGATTTTTCACAAGCTAACTATGCCATAGACATAAAAGGAAAGACAAACCTTCAGCTACTTTCTTGGAAGAAAATATTCTGAATTATTATTTTCTTTTTCATCCTTTTATCAGTCAAGCTCTGGCTTTTAAATGTCCAGCTTTCCATCCTCCCCTTTAGTTTTTCATTAGCTGACCCAGAAAATCTGGTCCCAGCCTGGGGTCCTCTCTATGAGCATTGTGCCCACTAGGGGGCAGAAGGTTCCCACCACACAGCATTGGCGACCAAAAGGGTCTCTGGCTTCAGAGAGGTGGCATAAAGTTAGCATGGATTTAAAGTCATTGGTGTGTCAGCCTATCTATTTACAGAAGCAAAAGGCCACCTTTCATTCCCAGATCCCCTGGCACTTGAGCCACTCTGGCAAGTGACTCTGAAAAGGGACAAGCTGCTGACATGAACTCCCGATGTTATTCCAGCCCCACAGGTGGCCTCAAGAGTAACCAAGATCAGAAATGCAGCCTCCTGCCCCTGATATCACCCCTCCATGCAGGGCCTCAGTTCTAGATATAGCCATGGCGGAGGGGGGAAGGCACAAGGGGCCCAACAGGCTGGTACTGAGAGATGCTGGGACCCAGGATGGAGACACCCAGAAGCCCAGAGCTGTGCCTGGAGGAAAGAGTTCTGGTGCTACAATGGATAAGTGCTCAGCTGCTCAATGAAAAGTTGATGGTTGGAATCCACCTTGCGACTCCCTAGATCTGGCAATGTGCTTCCATAAAGTTTACAGCCTCGAAACCCCTATGGTGCAGGTCTACTCTGTCACGTGGAGTTACTATGTGTTCAAAATGACTCCACAGTCAACAACACAACACGAACATGCCTGGAGGAGGGAGCATATGCAGGGACATTCTGCGGGACACCTAGGAATCCCAGTAAAGCTAGGCAGGTAACCAAGTCCCGCTGAGCCAAGCAGCTGTCCCTATCATTTCTGATCCTGAGCAATGTGGCAAGAGAGGAGGTCATGGGGGCTGGCAATGAGCCAACAAAAAGAGCCTCAAGCCTAGCAAGTTAAGAACGAAGTAAAGATCATACATAGTCTACTTCCCGCTCAACGTGCTGGCTCCTGAGCCCCAGCCCAGCCCCGGAAGGTCAGGTCTGAGACCCCATTTGAGTCTGGCCTAGTCTAACACAAGCCCCATTCCCACCAGTCGCACATACACTCCAAGTCCACAGCCAGTGTGGTTTAGCTTATTCATCAGGCTCTTCCTACTGGGATTTTAAACCAAGTCAGTCCCTCGGGTTCAGGGGAGACCAAACTGAGGAATCACCTGGCCCTTCTGGAAAGCCAAGGACACAGCTAACACATTCCCAGATTATCTGAACTAGCAAACGTCAGGCAGCTAACTAAACTTGTCACCGGCTACTACTGTCCAGACTGCCTTTAGGCAACGTGCCAGTGAGGCCATCATTTCTGCTGAGGCAAAACCACCACACAGTTCACCAGAGCGCATGTGGAGGCTAGGTCAGGCAGACAAGGAGGGGACGTGCAAGACACTCCCATACCCCACCCACAGGACACAGACACCCACACAGGCAGGGACACGCCCCCAGCACCAGGCTGTGACTCATACCCTTTGAGTGGCGTGATTCAGCATCTCCTGCCAGGCTGAGTCAAACTGCCGCTTGTCATCCTCCAGCAGCCGTTGCTCGGCCAGGGAAATGGTCTCCTTGGCGGCCCGGAGCACCTCAGTGGCCCTCTGGAAGTCTTGCGTGGCTTTCTGAGCTTCCAGCTGTGCCTGGGAGAGAAACAACTCTGTGAGGCATAAGGGAATGGCAGGGGTTCCCACCCAAAGATGAGCTCTACAAAGCCTACAACCTGCCCTGTTCACCTCAGACCTGACACCAGTAGGTCTGTGCAAATGCTGCGTGGGTCAACAGACCACTTCCACAATGTGGGACTCAGTGGAGAAGGTAGACATGCTGGTCAGATACAGGAATGACCAACTGCAGTTTGTTACAGAGCAGTTCTCATTCATCACCATGAGCTGCCCAGATCCGAGGGTCAGCTCATGACATCAGAACCAGAGGTTCTGGTTCCTATTCTAACTGTGACTCTGAGACACCAGCTCAAGATGGCATAGCATGTTCAAAACAGAGCCTTGTGACTACAGTCCAGGTCCTTTTAGTCCCAACCCAGTGTGCTCACATTGCAAGACATATGTCCCACTCAATTCACACTCCCCAGCCCCAGCCAGGCAGTCAATCACATGACCCCTGCGCTGTCCAATACTGTAACCACCAGTCACAGGTGGCTCCTGAGCATGTGAAAAGTGATTAATGCAAACTCAGATGAGCAAAACACACCACATTATGGGCTGAACCAACTCGACAGCACTTAACAACAAAGTACAAAAAAGAATGAAAAACACTTCATTTACAATATTTATATTGATTGCACGATGATATGGCAATGTTTTGTGAATAATGGTTTTAACAGTCGAGATCTAGCTGATTGAAACTCCTAGTGACCCCATGTTTGTCAGAGAAGAACTGTCCTCTGAAGGGTGGTCGAAGAGAAAATAATTAAAAAGAGGGACCTTACTTCGTTGTTGGTCTTTAAACCAAGTAATTAGTTATAAAAATTCCTGACCAAAAATTAATTATGCCCGTGGTTTTTTTCCACACAAAATTGTTTATCTTTTCTTTTTTTGTGTTCAAAGCCAGGCTTCCTTGATTTATATTTCAAAAGGTGGCCGCAGATCACCTTGTGACCCATCGTTGATGTCAGTAAAAGGAGGAGGGCAGGGTTCAACCCATCACGTTAAGATGAACCAATGGTTGATCTGCTTTTTCCCTCTTCTCTTTATGTTGTTATTGTTGTTGTTAAGTACCACTGAGTGGGTTCTAACTCATAGTGACCCTGTATAGGCTTTCCAAGGAGAACCACTGACTTAGTGGTTCAAATGGACCTTGCAATCCAGTGCTTATCCTATAACACCACCTCAAGACTTCCTTCTCTTTATAAGCCTCATTGTAACGAGTCTACTTCAAGCCATTTGCTTTTTTGGAATCAGAATCATGTTCCTAAAGGCATACAGAGTCACTGCCAAGAAGAAACCTTATGTCTCAAGTTCTTAGAGTTTCATTATTTTTATCAGGGTTTTTAATGGTTGATCTTTCCAAAGAGGATTGCCAAAACTTTCTTCCAAGTCACCTGTGAATGGACTGGTGTTAAGTGCCATCAAGTCAGTTCTGACTCATAACAACCCTGTATAGGGTTTCCGAGGAAACGGCTGGTGAGTTTGAACCCCTTATCTTATGGCTTCAACCAACCTTGTGGTCCAGGGCTTCAACCTCTCACTGGAGTGGACTAAAACCTTCCCTGTGTTTAACAGCAGAGCAAGTTTAACTGTTTGTACCACCCAAGGACTCTCTTAAAACAAAAAAACATTACCAATGACTCAATTCCAACTCATAGCAACCCTGTAGGACAGGGATGAACTACTACAGGGTTTTCAAGACTGTCAATCTGGACAGGGACAGACAGTTCATCTTTCTTCCTCAGAACAGCTGGTGGGTTTGCAGTTAGGAGGTCGGTGATTAACCCACTGTACCACCAGGACTCCTAAGGATGCCATACTGGGTCAAATAATGTGTGTAATTTGAATAAATTCTACCTGTTTTCTTTTTATTATTACTATGTTCATGTGACTACTAAAACTGAAAACTTAAAGGAGCTCTGGTAGCGTAGTGGTTACGAATCAGGCTGCTAATCTCACGGTCAGCAGTTTGAAACTACCAGCTGTTCCGCAGGAGAAAGATGAGGCTTTCTGCTCCCGTAAAGATTCACAGTCTCAGAAACCCTGTACAGGGTCGCTATGAGTCAGAACCGACTCCACAGCACATAACAACGACAACACTAAAAATTTAAGGAGCTCTGCTAGTGTAGTGGTTACGAATCGGGCTACTAACCTCAAGGTCAGCAGTTCGAAACTACCAGCTGTTCTGCAGCAGAAAGATGAGGCTACTGCTCCCGTAAAGATTTACAGCCTCAGAAATCCTACACAGGGTCGCTATGAGTTGGAACAAACTCCACAGCACAGAATACCATCACCATTAGAAATTTTTAAATTGCATATGTGGTTCACATTATATATTTTTAGACAATAGAACCAACCCCAAGAATGGGCTGGTCTGTGTGATTCCATCAGAAATCAACACAAGACATTGCTGTCACCACTCAAGCAGAGGATGAACAAGCCATTTCCACATGCTGGCCCCCAGCAGGGGCCTAATGCAACAGTCCAGGCTTACTAGACCTAAATTCAGTGGCAGAAACCCTTCTGACTCCCACAGGGCAGTCCCTCTGACTTAAGGGGACGGAAATACCACAGCAACCCTCACATGACTTAGAGGAAGTCCTCAGAAACCACAGACTGAGGACATTTTGAGAAGAGAACAGGGGGGGAAATCCGAGATTTGGAACACAGGGAACATGCTCCCACCCTGTATCTTTCAGAGAGGGGGACTGCAGACCAGACCTAGAGCCTTGAGGCGATGGACCCTGGATATCCACGAAGAATGAGATCTTTGACAACTTGAATTTCTTAGCCATGTTGTGTGTTTATCCACAAGGTTTTCATTGGCTAATTTTCAAAAGCAGATCACCCCACTTTTATCCTATTTTGTTTTAATTTGGAAGCTTGGCTGAAACTTGTCTACCATGGGTGTCACAGCATCACAGCAAGCCACAAACCACATGAGAAGGTTCTGTCTTGTACTGACAGATGGGTGGTAGAGACGAGCAGTAGAGAAATCTGTAATGTGAAGGTGCATGCCTATGGGCTATAAAACCTGCTGTCTTTCAGTCTGATTCTGACCCTGTATGACAGAAAAGAACTGCGTCTATCAAGGCTGGACCTTTTCTCCCAAAACGCCAACCTTTTCGTTAGTAGCCCAACTTTTAGCCCACTAACTCACAAAGGCATTTGTTGCTGTTAAGTGCTGTGGATTTGGTTCCAACTCATCAAGACCCTGTATAGGTTTCTGAGGAGTGGCTGGTGAGTTTGAACTGCTAACCCTGTGGTTCAAACTGACTTTGTGGTCCAATGCTTATCCTACAGTTTCACACCAAGACACAAGGGTCATGTTATTGGTGTTACTCTTTAGTGCTGTCGAGTCAGTTCCAACATAGTGATACTGCGTGGGGTTTCCTAGGAGGTGGTGGTTATAAACTACCAACCATGTGGTTGGTAGTCCAGTGCTTATCCTATGGCACCACACCAGGACTCTCCACAAGACAGCCGTGGTGGTGGTGGTTATGTGCCATGCAGGTTTCCAAAGGTTTCTGAGGCTATAAATCTTTATGGGCGCAGAAAGTCTCATCTTTCTTCCGTGGAACAGCTAGTGGTTTCACACTGCTACATTAACAGAGTTCCTACAAGAGCCATTTTTTTTGTTGTTGTGAGGTGCTATTGAGCTGGTTCCAATCTATATCAACCTAGTATAGGGTTTCCAAGGAGCAGCTGAATCGCCGACCTTACAGTTCCAAGTGACTTTGCAGTCCGGTGCACTAAGCCACAGCACCACCCGGACTCCACAAGAGCCACAGGAGGGAAGCTATATGGTAGGGAGATTTTGAAAAGAAGAAATGACTTATAGTAGAGGGCACCAAGGAAGGTTTCTGAAAGGAGGCTGATCTCACACTGAGTACAGAAGATTGGGAGTGATGTGAAAATGCAGGTTGATAGGGGCAGAAGGAAGCATTTGAGGCTAAGAAGCTAGTATTACGAAGCATGACATCTGAGGAAGACTTGACAAAGGCTTAGCTCAAACCAATAGAAGGAATTACAGGTGAGGACCAGGCTGAGGTTTCACTCCAAGCAGCCCAAGGAGCAGCCAGCCATCCATACAACCACTCACCTAAGGCATGCTGCAGCTACAGGATGCCCTGTATAGAAGAGACCATCCACTGAGAAGAAACAAGAGCACAAGGTGATCTCAGCAACAAAACGTACACCCCAGCCAATAAGCCCCCCAGGCTCTTTCCTGTGAGGAGAGTCCAAGCTCTGTGTGGACAAGCTGCTGGAAAGGGTAAAAGCATGAGCCCCCACCTAGACCACCTACAGGTTCCAAACTACCTGTCACTAATCCCACAGGATCACAACATTGTTTACCATAGGACGGACAGACGGATGAACTGAGTTACCTTATTATGCAACATTGAAGGACACTTTGTGTGAATTCTGACCCTTTTCTTGATGTTTTCATGCAGACTTCAACATGGCTGCGATACCACGGGCCCAACACCACCTCTCCACACCTCCATCCTGCATCTGATGAGTTCAAAATAAAGGACTGGAGCTCTGCTCAGAAGGAAAAAGGAAGCCCACTTGATGTGGCCTTTCAGAACACACTCACTATCAAATCCCTTGGGAAGTTTTGAAGTTTTGTGGCTGCAGCTATGCGCTGGCCTTGTCAGACCGCACTACGAAGAGATGGTTCAGTTTACACTGAAACCAAACCACATTTCTCCACTCATTCAAGTAAGTGTTGGTCATCTGTTCTGCACCCAATGGCTCATCTCTCCGTTTTTCTTGCTAAGAGAGTCTTTCTGCCTCAGAGTAAAGCAATGTGCCTGTCTCCCTGTCACTACAGTTAGTGCTCCTGAGACTGGGTTTGGGATAAAGATATGTAAATGGACATTGAATGAGACTTCCAAGAGGGCTCCTTCGCCCTCAACTCTTCTTTCTTCCTGCTACCTGCAACATGAATAAGATGGCTGGTTCTGCAGCAG